AAATTTTTCAGTATATGCAGCTTTTCTTCTGTATCTTACATTGTAAGCACCTTGAAGTGGTTATTGGATTTTTTTTTTTTTATCTCCAAGGTTTTTATTTATAACTTGAGAATGCCTTACCTGGTCAGCTTTAAATTTTCAACATTGGTGAGTCTTAACTAGTGGAAAGATTCATGAAATAGCTAAGAATTTGGTTGAATTGAGCAGTGGAATTGTCTTAAAATAGGACTCAAAATGGACAAAATTGCCAATGCATAAATTTTGCTCCTGTATAATTCTGGCAGTTTTCCATCAAATTTTGTATTTTTGATGTCATTACCTTCAGGAAAGATTTTATACCATTTCAGGATTTTTTTTTATGTACATGCTCAATGTTTGTGTTGTACTGTTGCACATTGTCACCCCAGCCAGCCCAAAAGGGAGCTATGGGACTATGATTGCTTCATAGAACATTACAAAGAGCTACCCTATTGGCCAGAGAACATTACAGTTCCCATGTGAGTAACAGCCTATGTAAATTTCCACATTTGGCCTGAAAGCAAGTCCCTTTTGGGCTACAAGAATGCTATGGGGTTAAATTAATCTTTCTTTGCTAATACAGCCTCTCCTCGCTTAGCAACATACTCATTTACCAACGACTTGAACTTAGGACGGGCTCTCTGACCAGTATTTATACCTAAATAATGTATATTAGAACTGATTTCCTTTATTCTGTTTATATTTCAATATACGTACAGTACACTACTGTATAAACATTTAAAATATACCAGAAATTTTATAAATGGTGCAGAGGTGACATTAAAACAATATCAAAGATGGTTGACACAAACCCACTACCATTATAGTGTGCTCCTCACTTAGCGATGAATTTGTTTACCGAAGTGGACTTAGGAACAGAACTCCATCGTTAAGTGAGAAGAGGCTGTATAATCAGTAGATTCCTTTCATTAATTTTTTAATTTAAATTTTTTTCATTATTTTTCAGGTTTGTTTGGAATGTGTGGTAATGGTTGGTGTTCATGACTTGATGCAGCAACAAGTAGCTTTAACAAGACAATTTCTCGACAGTCAGCAGAAACTGCACCAGGCCTATTCTGCCACTCTGAGTTCCTCACACCGCTACACTTCTCTCAGAAGCACAGAAAAGGTATAACTTAAACAGTTTGAGGATTTCTATACTAGTACAAGTATTGTATGCTCATTGTCATATGGCATAGTATTACCTAAAGTCAGTATCTGATCAGCTGGGCTATGGTTTGTTTGTTGGACTATGTGTGGCCAGAAGTAACAGCCTGGTTGATCAGGCCCTGATCCACTGGGAGGCCTGGCCAAGGACTGGCCATGAAGGCATTGACCCCTGGAACACCCTCCAGGTAGACTCCAGGCAGATAGTATTTAAAATGTTTGCTAAATCTAGGTGGGTTATGTACTCACAGCTGTAACAATAGTATTATTGTGTTTCCTCTTCAGATTTAGACAAAATTGTAAATGGTGTCAGTAAAGATATTTGGCAGTTATGACTGGATGTTGCAATGAAGCTTTTTTATTGCAAAGCTTTGTTTATGAATTTTGAGAAGGCTGTACATTGTCCAATCTAGAACTAGTTGCAAATAACTTGTTATACAGTAGACCTTCACATTACACAGATTTATTTGGCATGTTTTGGTTATTACACGATTGAAAAATTGCAGCATAATTTTATACAACACTTCGCAAAATTAATTTAACACAGTTCGGTTTGCGGGAGGGGAAAAAATTTGGAGCATCGCCCGTGGGATATTTCCCTAGCTCAGGCCGCCACCTGGCTGTGGGTGAGATCACTGTCTCCACGGGTCTGCACTGGGCTTCAAGGCAGTAAAGGATCGCTTCACCTTGCTCTTTTGCGGAAATGCGTCAGGTGTAAGCCCATGGTTATTTATCACTCTAAGAATCCTCGTGCTTTGAAAGTTGTAGATAAAAATACCTCACCAGTAATTTGGAGGTCAAACCAATCAGCATGGATGACAGAGGAAATATTTATTGACTGGTTTAACCCTTTGACTGTTTACACTGTATAAATACGTCTTACGCACCACTGTTTCTGACGTATTTATACGCATAAATTCTAGCGGCTTCAAATCAAGCAGGAGAAAGCTGGTAGGCCCACATGTGAGAGAATGGGTCTCCATGGTCAGTGTGCACTATAAAAAAAATCGGGGAGCCAGTGGTGCATTGTGGGAATGCCATTTCAGTCATCCTTTTTCAGCATGCTTAGCGGAAAGAAATATGTGACTCCCCAGCAAATCTGGGACTCTTCTCTTCCAAGCGATGCTCTAACACAGATAGAAGTGTCAGTGAAGATCAATTTCATGATTTTGAGGAGTTTGAGACCAAAAGCAATGGAGGAGAAGGAGGGAGAAGAGGAAGAAGAAGAAGATGTAATAATATTGTTCCCTTGAAGCAAGAAAAAAAAAGTCCACCCCATGACAGTGACAAGATAAGGGGAGATAACATCTGATAAGAGCTGACGTTTGATGAGCGTAAACGAGGGTGGGGGAGGGTGCAGCTGATAAGAAAAGATTAGAACACCATCACCCTCACTTTGTTTTTGCTGGTACACAAACATTTCTGTCTGTCTATTTGTCTGTCTGCCAAGCTCCCTGTCTATCTGTCTAGCTCTCTGTCTCAGAGAGAGCCACAAGACTGTGTCATCATTACGTTTACTCACATCTTCAAGCAGAGTGTAGCACTTTGTCTGGATTTTTTGGGTTATCCTAGGCAATTTATACTATGTATACTTGTATTTATGTGTACCTGTGAGACAGAGATAGACAGATTGAAAGAGATAGAATGAGGAAGAAAGATAATTAGATAGAATGGAGGGGAAGCAGCATCCGACCCCATTGTTTTGACAGGCGGTAGGGGGAGTGAGTAATGAGACAATACAGTGGACCCCCGGAATTTGATGGCATTGGTATTCGATAATACCATTTTAACGCAAAAATTCCGCCTCAGTATCTGATCGAAAACCTGGTATTCGATGGGATTCGTATGAGACGTGTCCACGTGTGGTCTGAACTGCCCCATGTGTGCCAGTGTTTACAAGCCAGCCAGTGTGCGCGCATCTAAGGATACATTTGGTACATTCCATATTATCACTCTTTTTGGTGCTTGTTTCTGCAAAATAAGTCACCATGGGCCCCAAGAAAGCTTCTAGTGCTAACCCTGTGGTAAAAAGGGTGAGAATTTAGTATGGAAATTAAGAAAGATTTTGAAGGGTTTGGGGCTAACCCTGAGAAGCCTATGCCAGTTGTGGAATCCATTGTGCCTACTTCAAAAATTAAGGAAATGTGTGCACAGTGGGTTGAACTGCAAACCTTTATGGATGAAAATCACCCTAACATAGCTATTGCAAGCCATGCTGGTGACTATTACAATGACAATGTTGTGGCCCATTTTAGACAAATCGTAAAGGAACGGGAGGTAGAGAGCTCTATGGACAGATTTGTTGTGCGACAGAGGTCCAGTGACTCTCAAGCTGGTCCTAGTGGCATTAAAAGAAGAAGGGAATTAACCCCGAAAAGGACTTGCTACCTCAAGTCCTAATGGAAGGGGATTTCCCTTCTAAACACTTACACCATCCACACTCTCCCCTCCTCCCATCCCATCAATTATCACCAGATCTTCATTAAAGGTAAGTGTCAATTATTCTATTGTTATTATTGTATTGTTATTGTAATTATTCTATTGCATTAAACTTAATATTTCATGTGGTAAAATATATTTTTTTCATACTTTTAGGTGTCTTGCACGGATTAATTTGATTTCCATTATTTCTTATGGGGAAAATTGATTCGCTTTTCGATATTTTCGGTATTCGATGAGCTCTCAGGAACTGATTAATATCGAATACTGGGGGTGCACTGTATGTCATTTTGACAGCTGCCAACTCCTGACTCAAAACAATTATAAGCCACACACTCGCACACAAGACAAGCTTTCTGAATGAAGATAATAACAGTTATATGAAAGTATCTAGTGACTATATATGTGTATATATATTATAGAAACCAGAAGGAAGGAAGAATGGAAGGCACGAATGAAGGAAGGAGATGAAAGGAAGGAAAAAAGTAAGGAAAGATGAAAGAATGTAGGAAGGAAGGTAGGTAGGAAGGAAAGGATTACAGGAAGGTAGGAAAGGAATGCAGGAAGGTAGGAAAGGAATGCAGGAAGGTAGAAAAGGAATGCAGGAAGATAGGAAGGAAGGTAGGAAACAAATGCAGGAAGGAAGGAATGATGATACATGACCATTTACCTAGGATAACTACATAACACAACTGCCTGCTAATACTTTGAAGAAAACTGCTCAGACGAAGTGTTTTGTCTTTGCACATAAAAAAAAAAAAGTCCAGAAAAATGCACACACACTGGTTTTATGTGTGAGGAGTGTAAAGCACCATTGTGTATGAAAACATGTTTCAAAGAGTTCCACAAGCTGCAGAACTTCTAGGAATATGTCCAGTGACTGTATATTGGTATATACTGTAAACCAAAGTTTACCTGGTGAGCGGCAGTCACCGCTGTTGCCATACACGGCTCATTTTTGCAAACTCATACCTCTATATCTCCGTAAGTACTGATGGCAAAAATTTTTGTTTTGGACTAAAACACTCAGAAAAATAATCTTAAAATTTTCATAAGAAAAAAATTATTTTTTTGTTTTTTTTTTTGATATTTTGCGACATAGAATGACAGTTTCAGAAAGGGGCCTGCGGCAGTCAAAGGGTTAAGCAACACATTATTCCTGAAGTCAAGTTTACCTGCACAGCAAGAACCTTGCATTTAAGACTCTCTTAAGAATAAGAATAAGATTTTGTTCGGATTTTTAACCCCGGAGGGTTAGCCACCCAGGATAACCCAAGAAAGTCAGTGCGTCATCGAGGACTGTCTAACTTATTTCCATTGGGGTCCTTAATCTTGTCCCCCAGGATGCGACCCACACAAGTCGACTAACACCCAGGTACCTATTTGCTGCTAGGTGAACAGGACAACATGTGTAAAGAAAACGTGTCGAAATGTTTCCACCCGCCGGGAATCGAACCCGGGCCCTCCGTGCGTGAAGCGGGAGCTTTAGCCACCAGGCCACCGGGCCTTGACAGTTCCCGTACTCGTCCAGAAGCCATGCTGGATGTGACCCCCACGTGTAAAAGTTGTATTTTTACCTCCTAATACATCTTTAATACAACCACTGGATTGGGGCATTATTAAGTCATTCAAGTGTAACTACACAAGTAATGAAAAAACTAGTTGCCTCAATGGATTCTGACTCCAACCTGGCAGTACCAAGCTTCTAGAATAATGTATAATATATTGCAGGGTAAAAGAAGCCAGAGATCCACTAGAGAATTTATGCACACTCCAATACAACCATTGACTTTAGTACCAGAACCTCAAATCATCCACTTCTGCCAACAACCAACAACCATCCACCTCAGGCCATGCATCTCCACTCTCTTCACAATCACTGACATACACCAGCAACCACAATTTAAGGTAAATAATAATATTTTTATTGCATTTGTAGTCTCAAGCAACAAAAACAACATTATAATTTTTATTTTTGTAAGATCTGGATGTCTAAAAAAAAGTTGTTTGGCTTTTGGGGGATCCCAGGAACGTAACCCTGTTTTTACCATAAGTCCTTCAGTTTATATAACATGGACTTATCTAACACGGCATTTTCAGGAAAGTAATGCCGTGTAATATGAAGGTCTACTGTACTACATAAAACAATGTATAAAATTATACAGCACAGGGAAACTGTAAAAATGAATATTAAATCAAAATTTAACTGAAATACTGTACAGTAAATGAAAATTTAACTGCTGCATACCTGTCAGAAGAGAGCTAATGGCATACTGGAAGCAGGAGGTGGAGGAGAGGAGGGGGTATGTAACTGCTTGGAAGGAGAGTCACCATCTGTTAATATGGCAGGCAACTGTCCTGTGTTGTTTTTCTCTTTTTTGTCTCTCTTCACCAATAACACCTTGTTTTGGCTCACTGGTTCTTTGTCTTATGAAAAACCTGTCTAGTGAAGTCTGTTTCACACACTCCATTTTAACACTTTCCCATTCATATTGTCCGTCAACAACCAAGAGCATGTATGAAAAACCAGGACATTTTTTTCTCAAATTCCTCATTTGAAAACCAATTTGTTTGATGAGTAATGCAGTTGACAACTGAGGTTCCACTGTACGGTGGAACCTCTACTTAAGAGTGGACCCCAGGATTAAGTCGTCATCAGAATAAGTAATATTCGGAATAAGTAATGTTTTTTCGTCAAAATATTGGCTCGGTGAATGTCACTGATCTTGGTATAAGTCATTCGTCCAGAATGTGTCCGTGTGGCCTGAGTGGCCCCGACTCTTCATGTACATCTATTGTTTACCAGCCAGTGAAGAAGATCTCACGCGTTCATACCTGGAGTTTACCTGGAGAGAGTTCCGGGGGTCAACGCCCCCGCGGCCCGGTCTGTGACCAGGCCTCCTTAGGTCAGTGTCCCAGGATGCGACCCACACCAGTCGACTAACACCCAGGTACCCATTTTACTGATGGGGAACATAGACAACAGGTTGAAAGAAACACGTTCAATGTTTCTACTCTGGCTGGGAATCGAACCCAGGCCCTCACCGTGTGAAGCGAGAGCGTTAACCCTACGATACATTTTGTATTATTCCATTCTTTTTAGTGCTTGTAACTGCTAAATAAGCCACCATGGACCCAAAGAAAGCTTCTAATGCCAGCCAGCTCTTTGGTAAAGGGCTGAAAGAGAGGGGAGAATGTACCTTTTTCAGTGATTCTCCAATATGTAAGATACTAAAGCATCAGGAATTGATAAAGGCTATAGTGCCAGCCAACGATAAAGTGTAGCATTAACAGTGTAGCAAGTAAGCTAAGTGATTTAATCAATAGAAAAAGGACAGCACAAAACTGACTCCTCCATTGTTGTTGGAGGTATATAGGGCTACTGACTAACACTGCTGCCTTCACCACCACTATGTAAGGCTTATCTTTCAGTGGCCCTTATACACTCAACAATAAACAACACACCACCACTCGTGACATTCTTAATGCCATATTTTATTCATTCTTGAGTATATATCATGTTTCTATGTTATTAATATTGTTTATTATGTCATATTAGATGAATTGTGCTACATAAATAAGCCAAAGAGCTGATATTAGTGTCATATTGAAGGACTATCTTGTCTTGTCTCCCAACACAATTCCTAACATATGCCAGAAACAGACCTCTCTGGAACATTTGTTTGAGCAACAGGGGTCCAGTGACTCTCAGCTGGTCCTAGTGGCATTAAAAAACAAAGAAGGGAAGTAACCCAGGATAGGGACTTGTACCTGAAGTCTTTATGGAAGGGGATTCCCTTCCAAACAATTGTAAACTCCTGCATCCTCTTCCTCCTCCCATCTTCCATACATCACTATGTCTTTAATAAAGGTAAGTGTGGTGTTATTGTTTTATTCTTCATGTATCATTGTTTTCTGTGTAGGTAAATGTATATTTCACGTAGAAAACATTTTTTTAATACTTTTGGGTGCCTACAACGGATTAATTGAATTTCCATTATTTTTTATGGGGAAAATTAATTCGGAAATCGTCAGATTCGGGACAAGTCACTCTCTCTGGAGCGGATTAATTATGTAATTTGGGGGTCCACTGTACGAGTAGTCACTTGGTTGATTTTTTGCTTCCAGATGCGAGTGGGCCTCAAGGGAGGTTCCTTGACGCTGGTGAGGGGTTCTTGCTCTTGATCTAGGGAATTGGATCTCATTTGTTTGTTGGACTATCTTACTGAAACTTGGGCAATGTATGATAGAAAGATGCTTTTTAACGTACACCAAAATTGAAAGAAATCAGGCTATAAATAACGGAGTTCACTTCTCAGCCATTTTTTTTTTAACCCTGATGCCCTCTTAAAAAGTTCCACCTTCAGTACAAACTATGACATCTTAACTGAAAGTAGTTTATTACATCATAACTGAAACTGGTTTATTACATAACTGGGCAATGTGTGGTGCATTATTATAATCAAGGGGGAAAGCACTAAACCCGTAGGATTATACAGTGCCTGTAGGGGGGATGGAAGATATTCAGGGAACTGGAGCACAGATCCAGTTCCTTAGATCAAGAGCCCCTTACCAGCATCAAGGAACCTAATGTGTGGTGTAAATATTATGCAGAGAATTCGTAGTTTGGAAATTAGGAGGTGTGGAGTTACTAGAAGTATTAGTCAGAGGGCTGAAGAGAGGGTGTTGAGATGGTTTTGGTCATTTAGAGAGAATGGAACAAAGTAGAATGGCTTGGAGAGCATATTCCCTTTAAAATCAGGCATAATCGCAAATAACACCACAGACCACTACCCTACCTTTCTCATAACCAATCTAGGTAAATTACCTAAAGTTACCTTCAGACTTCATAATGAGACAGCTATTGATAACTTCACAACAGCAGTGACAAACATCCGACTGGCAAACTGAGCTAGAAATCTATACAGATACTGACAAATGTATTAATAATTTTCAAAAAAAAGACCCAACACCTCTATAATGTGCATTGCCCTAAAAAACTAAACAGATCACAGCTAAGAGACTGAACAGCCCCTGGCTAACATCCAGCATCCTCAAATCCATAAATATAAAGCACCTATATGAAAAACAATACAGAAAGGGCCAAATAACCAGAGACCAAACAAAACGTTACTTGTCAGTCCTAACCAGCCTGATAAGAAGGGCAAAAAAATTGTATTACGAGAACAGATTACTTAACTTAAAAGGTGATATGAAAGAGACCTGGAAAACCCTATCTGAAATTCTAGGAACTAAAAATTATCAGGAAACAGAACAATCAGATGAACCCCTTCTCCCACCGACTGAAACAGCAAACAGATTCAATGTTTTCTTCTCCATCATAGGAAAAAACCTGGTGAGCAAAATCCCAAGCTCAAACACCCCACCTAACGACTACCTCACTGGCACCTACCCGAACACACTATTCCTACCTCCGACCAACCCAACAGAAGTTTCACTCATTATCAACACACTAAAGAACAAGGCAAGAGATTTAAATAACTTACCACCCTTTATATACAAAAAAGCTTCTCAAATGCTGTTACCAACTATTGCAACACTCTTTAACAAATCCATCGAATCCTCTACCTTCCCCTCAATTCTCAAAAGAGTGAGGGTCACCCCCATACATAAAGGAGGAGATCAAACAGACTTGAATAACTATAGGCCAATATCTAACTTACCCCTTCTCTCTAAAATCTTTGAAAAATTAATTCATATCCAGATCTATTCCTACCTCATCTCTCACAACATACTCAACCCCTGTCAGTTTGGGTTCAGGCCTAATAAAAACACGAATGATGCTACTATACACACGCTAGAACTAATATACACTGCACCTGAGAAAAAAGAAGTTCCATTGGGAATCTTCATTGATCTATGTGAAGCTTTTGATACAGTTGACCATGATTTGTTGCACATAAGATTATCACATTATGGTATAAGAGGGGGCCCTCCCTCAACTACCTAAAGTCATACCTTAGCAACAGAAGCCAATATGTGTACACAAATGGAGCTAACTCGTCCACACGACCAATTACAGGCGGTGTCCCACAGGAAAGTGTCCTCGGCCCACTTCTCTTTCTCATTTACATAAACGACCTACCAAATGCATCTCAACTACTCAAACCCATACTGTTTGCAGATGACACTACATACATCTTCTCTAAACCCAAGCCCAGTCATACTAGCTAATACTGTAAATACTGAATTACAGAAAATATCTACCTGGATGATGATTAACAAGCTTACCCTCAGTATTGACAAAACCTCTTTCATTCAGTTTGGGAACAGAGCTACAAATGTTCCCCTTAACATAATTATAAAGGGAAAACACCTATCACAAAACTCACAAGGGAAAATTCTTAGGAATCCACCTTAATAGCCTCAAATTTCAGACACATTTAAAAACAAATTTTCCAAGAAAGTCTCCAAGACCGCAAGCATACTATCGAAGATATGGTACTATGTTTCCACATTCAGCTCTCCTTGCACTGTATCACTCACTTATTTACCCCTATCTCACCTCTGGAATCTGTGCATGGGGCTCAACAACAATAAATCATCTCAAACCATTAATTACCCAGCAAAAGGCATGCAGTCAGAAAAACCCAAATTCCCACTCCAGACAACACACTCCACCAATACTTAACCCTTTGACTGTTTCAGTTGTATATATACGTCTTATGATGAGCCACCGTTTTTGATGTATATATACTCATAAATTCTAGCGGCTTCAAATCAGGCAGGAGAAAGTTTGGTAGGCCCACATGTGAGAGAATGGGTCTGTGTGATCAGTGTGCACCATATGTAAAAATCCTACAGCACACAGTGCATAATGAGGAAAAAAAAAACTCCGACCGTTTTGTTTTAATTAAAATGCCAACTTTGTGGTCTATTTTCGTATAGTATTTATGGTTGTATTCTCATTTTCTTGATCTCATTTGATAGAATGGAAAACATATTATAGAAATAGAGGTGATTTTGATTGGTTTTACTATGAAAAGAAGCTTGAAATGGAACTTCAAAAGTAAACAAATGATGTCATTTTTCAATAAATGTCCAAGTAGCCATTCTAATATGCAGTCATGAATGGGTTGACATTTATTTATACAATTATTACAATATTGCAGTAGTCTGCATAACAGTAAATCACTCTTTGATGTTCCCTGTGTCCATCTCAGACTATGTAAAAAACTCAGTGCACATAAAAGGCCCAAAAATTTGAAATTCATTACCAGTAATTACCAAAGAAACACTGTATATCAATTCAAGACTTCTAAAAAAACCACCTACACACCCACAAAACTAAATACACAGTACATAATTTAACTTTACCTACATAGTTAACAAATCACTTTCTACTGCCTCAAAATATCATTACTCACTGTGTTACTCCCCTAGCCTTAGGACCCCATAAATAAATGCTCAAAGATCAATAAATTCTCATATCTAATCTAATGTAAATATAAATAACTTATATTCATAAATGTATAACCCAGTTTGTATAATTAGAGAAACCTTATCAATCTGTGTTTTTTATAGCATACCTAATAGAATAATCCATTCTCTTGAATGCACTGTAACTCATCTAATGACCATATGAACTGTTACTGCACTACAGATCATTGATTTGATTTGTTTAGATCTGATTAATAAATTGTATGACTACATATACAGTAAGACCGTCATTTAGCACAGTAGTTACGTTCCTGAAAAAATGCCATGTTAGTAAAATCGTGTTAGATGAACTAAAGAACTTATGGAAAACTAGGGTTACGTTCCTGGGAGCTCCAAAAAGCCAAGCAACTTTTTTTTAAGCCTCCACAATATGTAGTTGTAGTTTCAATGTTGTTGATGTATTATGTTGTTTTTACTGCTTAAAACTACAAATGTAAAAGAAATAATAGTATTTCTTACCTTAAATTGTGGGTGCTGGTGTTTGTGGATGATTGTAAAGAGAGTGGAGTTATGCTGTGGCCTTACTGGCTGAAGTGGAATGGTAGAGGTTCTGGTACTGAAGTCGATGGTTGTACTGGAGTATCTAACAGTAAGTCACTCAGTAACTGTTCCAGTAAATTTATTATAGCTTCGATAATCTTAAGTTAATTTAAGCCTGCCCATAATGCTCTGCATACAAGGGCTTTTGATATGTACACCCAACTACTATAATACCTTGTACAACTATGTATCATGTTCTAATAAACTGTTATTATTATTATATAAATCTGTAAAGGAAGGAAGGCAGGGTAGGGGTTGTCCTCGAAAAGGTTGGAGGGAGCGGGTAAAGAAGGTTTTGTGGGCAAGGAGCTTGGACTTCCAGAAGTGTGCATGAGTGTGTTAATAGAAGTGAGTGGAGATGGATGTTTTTGGGACCTGATGAGCTGTTGGAGTGTGAGTAGGGTAATATTTTGTGAAGGAATTCAGGAAACTGGTTAGCCAGACTTGAGTCCTGGAAATGGGAAGTACAATGCATACAATTTAAAGGAGGGTTTGGGATATTGGCAGTTTGGAGGGATGTCTAAGCTGTCGTATCTGAGTGCCTCTGCAAAGGCAGTGATTATGTATGAGTGATTGTGAAAGTGTTGAATGAATGATGAAAGTTTTTTCTTTCTTTTGGGTCACAATGCCTCGGTGGGAAACGGCTGACGTGTTAAAAAAAAAAACTTGTTTATTACATCTTAGATTTTTTCTTTCATTCAAGCTTAACCCTCTATACCTCTTCCTTCCCTCCTTTCCTGACATTAGTGGCTGTTTACTATATAATACTAAATAACCCACATGGTTTTAGCCCTTTTTATTAATACAGGCAGTCCATATTTAACAAATATTTGTTTAACATAGTTTTGAATAACCCAAAAAAAAAAAAAAATTACAAAAACTCTTAACAGCCATTTATCTGCTTGTACTATAATCTCTCATACTAGGTAAGATTAAATGAATCTTTTCACTTTTTCCTCTGTTTTTACTAATTTTATTTTATTTTGGCATTGTTAATTGTATAGTCATTCTTCCAAACAATCCAGTAAGAATAATTAATCTAGCCATTTCATTTACACTTTCTTTTTTTTAACACACTGGCCATCTCCTACCGAGGCAGGGTGACCTGAAAAAGAAACATTTTCACCATCAATCACACTATTACTGTCTTGCCAGATGCATGCAGATATGACAATTTAGATGTCACATTAAGCAGCATATATCCCAAACCCCTCCTTTAGAGTGCAGGCATTGTATATCCCACCTCCAGGACTCGAGTCTGGCTAATCAGTTTCCCTGAATTCCTTCACAAAATATTACCCTGCTAACACTCCAACAGCTCATTAAGTCCCAAAAACCATTTGTATCCACTCCTAACATGGTCACACATACCTGCTGTATGAATTGCACATATAATTGTTAATGTGGTTAGTCAATCAATCATCACTTGCAGAAACTTGAATCCTAAACCAGCTAAGCCTTTATACATTTTATTTACTGATAAAGTTGAACAAAGTTTAAGACTGCAAACAACAAAAGAGGCTTCAGTGACAGGTTTAGCTTTTTTGTTTAATAACAATTAGAGATAAATACAAAGTTGGTCACATGATTACAAATTCTCACGTAATGAAATATGACTATTACTGTGAAGCCTCATTATTTTTATTTTTTTTTGTGAAAATAAAAACTAATATTAAAACCATAGGTGTTATGGAGAGCTGTATTAGTTAATGCATCAGCTAAATTACTTTTAAAGAAAAGCATTAGTTTAAATTAAAAAGTTTTCTCATTTTTGGGTTAATCATCTTACTACTGATTTTTTCAACAGTACATAAAGATGAAGAAGAAACCCCCACTAACATTCAGTGATGCTTACAAGTTAGTCAAAGAAGAAATGAAGGCCTCAGAAGAATGATACTGCTGAATCAAAATGTTAATTAGCTATGTTGTTCAGTATTTTTACTAAAGCAATGTTGATACTACAATTCACAAGCTTATTTCCATATGAATAGCTAAAGTAAGTGTAAAGCACTTGTCAGTGCTCAGTAATAACCCCCAGGAGACACTCTCAGAAAATTAATTGGGCTATATATTTTGACCCAAGAAAGGGGGTTGAAATATACAGACCATTTTAATTTTCTGAGTTTCTGTCTCCATGTGGGTTATTATTATTTCCATATGTATTGGCATACAGGTATTAAAATTCACACTAGGTAATTTTCTTGAAATACTATGCACTGCACATGGAAGGCGTGCTGAACATGCCACCGATGAATATTGCTCCACTGTACACACACTGATCTAGTATTCCAGAATTTCTATTAGTACATTCTAACCCCAGTCAGTTAAATGAGTCAGAAAGCTGGGAAACGAATGAAACTTTCTATTATTTAAATGGTATCCTCTGATATGTCATTGTAAGGATATATATGTTGGAAAAGAAAGAAAAGATGAAGACAAGTAGCTCAACAGGGTATGTTAATAGTGCAAGAGAGAGGGTTACATATGTGGAAGGAAAGTGTAGGCTTTGAAGAGTGCTTTGACCTGTGAGATAGCTCACTGCCCTTGACAAAAAGTATATACCGTACATTAGAATACTAAAGACAAAATCTTTGTAAAATAAAAACTTATTGCAAACACACACATACATGCTACCATAAAGTTAAAATAATTCACATAAGTCAAAATACTTGTTGAATTGTTGATGTAAGAAGACACCTAAAATTTTCTCTAAGTCACTGTGGATAGTTAAAATGTGCTCTACAGTCAGCTGCCCACACATCACACAAGAGCCACCTGCAAAGAGTTGGCTGTGGACCAAGTGTGTACCTGATTGTCTGTCGAGTATCAGGGAGAGATACTTATTGAAAGAGGTACCATGGGACTTAAACATTGTATACAAAGATTTTAAAATAACCCTTTATACCCCAATAGGTGTAATCAGTTTGGGGAACAGTGATGTAATACAGTAAGTACAAACCAATACCACTATCAATATTTAACTTTTAATAGGAAATAAAACAGTACATTGCAATACATCATGCAAGAATAAAATTTGTAAAATCTTTCGTGTGTAAAATTACAAAAAATATGTGATCAGGCAGATGTGTGGTAAATACTTGTCAGTAATTTACATATTTAAACTGTAATTACAGTCCCCTCAAAGAAGGTTCCTTTATGTGGAGTCGATGTGTTCAGTCCATCAATCTTGTAGAATGTACAGCATAGGGCCGTAGACGTGGCTTATATACAGTGGACCCCCGCATAACGATTACCTCCGAATGCGACCAATTTTGTTAGTTGTATTTATGTAAGTGCGTTTGTACGTGTATGTTTGGGGGTCTGAAATGGACTAATCTACTTCACAATATTCCTTATGGGAATAAATTCGGTCAGTACTAGGCACCTGAACATACTTATGGAGTGAAAAAATATCGTTAACCGGGGTCCACTGTACTGTAGTGAGGGGGTGAAGCAGGCGAGGCGGGTCATAGTGGCCATCCACTATCGAAGTTTGGGGCTTGGGCCAAAATTGAACAATGTTGAGAATTCT